CTTTGGCGTTGTAGCCTTGGAGATCTTGTGTAGAAGGAAAAATTTCGAGCCATCTGAGCCCGAGGAGCAAAGGCTATTGTTTAGTCTTCTCAAGAGAAAGGCTGAGGAAGGGCGACTAGTGGATCTGATTGATAAGCGCAGTGAAGATATGCAGCTTTATAAGGAAGAAGTAGTACATACAATGCAAGTTGCAGCGTGGTGTCTACAACGCGATGACACCAAGAGACCATCAATGTCAATAGTTGTCATGGTCATCTAGGGCGCGGTGGATGTTGAAAAGAGTCTGGACTACAACTTTCTTATGCCACAAACCGTATCAGATATCAGTATAATAGATTCTGCTCCATTACTTCCCTCAATCCTATCAGGCCCAAGGTGAGAGAAATTTGTTCTTAAACATTGCTAATTTCAAGCTCTACTATAAAGTGCAGCATGCTGGCTGCTGTTTTAATTTCGAGTTTGTTTTCTTGCACTAGTCATGCAAATTTATTCAATATATATATCAAGTGTCAGGAAGAAGACTAAATTTGTACTTGCAACTTCCTCTCTGCTCTCGCTCAAAATGATAGGAAATTTTTTCTTTGCTGAGCGAGAAATCCATGAGGGCTAGTAGCGCATGGTTCAAACTCGGTGGATCATGGGTAGACTTTACCCCTTAAATACAAGGCTATTGTCTGCGGCAAGGTTCAAACACTTGATGTGCGCCTAACCCACACATCACCTACTGCGCTCTTAATATTAAGACGAGGTGATCCAATCCATCAACATTCGCACCCTGTTGCCAAGGGCACTTCTCTTTTCATCTACTTTCTAACTTGCAAACCAGAGTCATTGTTTCTTAGTAGTTTTCACCTAGCTACAGTACTTCCATAGACTTTCTACTTGCATTAATCACCATCAAACAATTATTCCAGTTTGAAATACAGGAACCATCCATTTGTCTCATGATACAAGTTTCAGCACGTTCTCCAGCCTTCCCTGATGAATTTTTTTTATATAGCAAGTCAAAATCCTGGTGATCCTTCAAGATTTGTGACAAGGCAAGTTTTGTTAACCAATTTGAAATCCGTGGCCAAATTGCATTCGTTAGGATTAGGATTTGGTCAGAAATTCTGGGATTTTTGTGACAAGGCAAGTTTTGCTCATTAATTTGAAATCTTTACTTAATGCTGGCTGAAATCTATGCTTGCAAAATGATATTTGGCATATTTCGATATGTGTTAATGTTACTTTACCCATGTTTTAACCGCTTTTTGATATTATTTGATCTTTAAAATGCCCAACATGGTTTAATTATTAGTTGTATGACTAATTGAGTTGTGTGTGATGATTTAGGGTGTTTGGAGTGCAAAATTATGAAGAAAAGGTGCTCTAGCTAGAGGAAGAGGGGTTGGATGCGTCGCATCCAATCTAGAAAAAAAAATTAGATTTCATGCACCCTTAGCAGTGAAGTCGGCCCATAGCATCCGCCTTAGCATCCGCACCTGAGCAAAGCTGAGATGGAGGAACAAAGGGTGGATGCTTCTAAAAAAATTAGATTTCATGCACCCTTAGCAGTGAAGTCGGCCCATAGCATCCGCACCTGAGCAAAGCTGAGATGGAGGAACAAAGGGTGGATGCGAAGCATCCACCCTAGCATGCGAAGCTGAGAAGTGGAGGACGAGGTGGATGCGACGCATCCACCCTAGCATCAATCCCTGAAGCTGATTTGGACTAGAAATAGGAGAACTTTGGCCCACGACTTTTGTACGCAATATATAAGCCAAAAAAGCCTCTTTTAGGTCATCTAACATATTGGAAAGGAGGAAAACACAAGCACAGAGCCGCCGTGGAGGCCGGAATTCATCAAGTTCTATCTTTCTCCCACCAAACTTTGTAATTTTTATGTTTCTTAGTATGATTTGTTGTTTGGGTACCATGTCTATGTGGAGCTAAACTTCACGTTCTAGGGTTGTGGTTCTTTCATGACTATTGTTATTCGGATATTGATTTTGACTTCTTGATTTATCATATTAGTTTATTTATTCAATCTTGCACTTAATTATTTAATTGCTTGATCACCAATTGAATATTATCTACGAATCTAGAATTGAACTCGAAAGTGGGAATTCTAGATTGCATATAGGATTGAGTAGAGCAAGTTCTTGAACTTGGGCATCGGGGAACGGATTCGTGGTTAGGATAAACATATACCTAATTGCCTTATTTGGTTGATTTACAGGAATTATAAATGCGTTCTTATTGATTCTAACTCCATAGACATATAGGCGTTAGGTTAGCTTGAATAGGCGAGTAAGAACTCGACAGATTCTTATGAGCAATATTAACCCTGTCAACCAATAAGCTAGATAAATTAGTCGGTCAATTCAATTGAAGAATACAATAGGATTGTTAGATAGCTCATAACCCTAGATCGTTTTCATTACATTGATATCATAAAAATTCGCTCTTTCTATATTCAAAATTCATTATTTATAATTTTTTATTTTATTTTATTAGTTTAGAATCAAATATTTTTAGGTTTAATTCTTGTTTAGATAATTAGGATAGTCTAATTTAGTTAATAGTTAATCATAAGTCCTCGTGGGTTCGACATCCGACTTTTAGTCACTTTATTACTTGACGATCGCGTATACTTGCGTGTGCGTTTGGCCGCAACACAAAACTTATCTTAACGGGTTACAACTTTAATGGTCTCTCAAAAGGGTGATTTGCACAAATACCACACTTCCGTGACTCTCTTAATTTTTTTATCCCATCTGTCCCATGGACAGCACTTGAGGTTTAGTAAGTGTTGCCACTCGCTTGTGCTATGTGCACACTTTTAACTTTTGACCTTAAAGGTTTTTCTATGAGGCAAGCGGGAGCAAAAAAAAAATCAAATCATCAACTTTCAAGGTCATTGAATGTAATTTCCTACTCTCAAAATGTCTTCTTATGGTCCAATGCATCTAGGTCCTTTGGGTTAGTCTCATATCTAACGGTGGTAGCCCAGTTCACTAAGCCATGGTCAGTTGAAGTAAATTCTAAGCCCGCCCAAATTTCTCAATCTGAAAGCATATCCAAATTCTAATAGGGGAACTTTCAGAAATGAGTATTGTTTGGAGACTTATTGCTGGGTGTAACTATAATTTAGCTATTGTTTGTCATGGGATATATATCGTTGTATTCAATTCGATCGTATACACAATATTCAATTCGGATGTATTCGTTCTTATATAGTTTACATTGTATTTAATTTCACTGTATTGAAGTCTTGTATTCAAACACAAAAAATCAAGAAATAGGATGTATACCGCTCTATTTAATTTGGCTGTATATACTGTATTCAATTCGGCCTTCCAAAAGAAATGTAGTTTCTCCCCAAAAGCCGGAACAGTTTTAACTTTTCTTCCTACCAATAATACCCTTAGCAAAATATTATATACTAGATGGTATGTGCCGTCTGCCCCACATTATTATTTGTCTATGTCGTGTGGTTTGGTAGAATGTACAGATGGGAGGAGCGAACCTCACAAAATTTTTAAAACTTTGCTGAAACACGTCAACCAAGTCCTAATACAACAGTTGCTAAACCATGAAATATGATACTTAGTAACTCAGCTTACAGAAGAGTAATAAAAGACTCCGGTCTAAATTAAGTGAACACATATACAATAACAACAACAACAATAACAACAACTCAGTATAATCTCACTAGTAGGGTCTGGGGAGGGTAGTGTGTACGCAGACCTTACCCCTACCCCAGAGTAGATATGTTGTTTCCGATAGACCCTCGGCTCCCTCCCTCTAAGAACTCCCCACCTTGCTCTTGGGGTGACTCGAACTCACAACCTCTTGGTTGGAAGTGAAGGGTGCTAATCACTAGAACAACCCACTATCAGTGTAACCATGCTTCTATAATAGTGAGATGAAACAGTGGCAGTGTGTTCACCTTCTTCCACAGAAGAGCACTCAACTATAGAAAACTCATTATCTTCCTTCTAATTTTTTTCTCTATAACTTACCCCATCAATAATATTCTCAAACAAAGTTTTCTTTGTCAATCTCAAAAGCTCTAATACTCCTTCCGATCTATTTCTTACCTCTTTGACTTGAAAATTATAAACTAATAAATGTTATTAAGTAGTGAGACCGAAAGTATAACAATCATTGTTACAAAAAGAGGAAACATTTTCGGCTTAAAATACCTTATAATAGTCAAGCAGCTATGACTCTTTTAGTTTGAGCGCAGACATAGCCAAATCTCTTGCAATGTCAGAGGTATTAGCTCCATATCATCACATTTCATACCCCGAAATTATATGCAAGTATGTTTTGTTGCGGAAGCTAAATATATAGAGAGTGATTAAATCACAACTACTATGTCTAAAGGTAGTTAATAAATAGTAAATGAGACAATAATAAAAAGAACACCAGAAATTAACGAGATTCGGCAAAATTTGATTTTTGCCTAGTCCTCGGACACAATCAACTCAAACTTTATTTTATTCCAAAAATACAGGTGAAATACACTACAAAAAAATGGGTAAATTGCGGAGGTTAAAATTGCAGTTTGCGGAGGTTAGAAACCTCTGCTATTTGCTGTCACGGCGGTTGAGCAGACCCCCGTAGTAAGCATCGCCACTATTACTTTGCTGCAGATAAATGCAGAGGTTTCCCGAACCGCCATGACAGCAAATAGCGGAGGTTTCTAACCTCCGCAAATTGCAATTTTAGCCTCCACAATTTCATGCCGAAAATAGATTTTTATTTTTAAAATTTAACCTTTTTTTTCAGTGTAGGGGTTGTAAACCCCGCAATTTCTTATGTGTACATCATCATAATCTGTTCAATTTCTTTTTGGGGGTTTTAACCTCATCTATTTTTAAATATATTATAGAATTGATTTTTTATCATTAATATGCCATACTTTTACCCTAATATCAATTGAAATATTTATACTTAAACCAAAACATTAAAATTAAGAAACATCAACATTTCATTAATCGTGAAAAATATTGTGACAGAGTAGTATCATATGTCATCAACTAAGTTAGAACATAGTTAATCGTCTATATTAGTCAGGTATTACATTGTCCTAATACATCTACTTCAATTAAAATGAATCTCAATGGATGTCAATGAGATTACTAGCGCCAGAAGATCTTCTTGCATCCGTCTGTGAAACGGGTCTACTAACTGCATCACTTGGCTGCAGCAAAAAGTAAAAAAAAAATACAACTATTAAGAGGAATATCAGGAAACAAGTTATTGAGTTGAAATATATGTTGTCTACTTAAACCAAAAAAAAAAATGAAGAAAAAAAGTTAAAGCATCCTTCTACTATTACTCTTGCAAGTTCAGCAGCCTTCTTCTCTCTATAATGCCCCCTCTTAATGCTATAAACAGGAACTGAATCAAAGGCTCATATACATTGATCCAATGCAATAGAAACTAAAATCACAAGTCTTGTAAAGATTGTTGAAAATAATGGAGCCGACGTCCCATGCTAATATTACAGATATGCAACTTTCAATGCAGTAAAATTTTTCATGTCAAAACTTCTTTCACTTTTCCCCTTCTTCAGTAAACATGCAGAAGAAAGGTTTCCAACCAAACAAATGAACCCTTTTCTTAACAAATAATTTGGCACAAAGAGGATGCCCATTAACAGAAACTCTCTCAAGGATGGAAGAGGAGCACTGTTGAAAGGAAAACAGAATTCCTTGATTTATATTGGGTGGTGAAAAATAAATATACCACTTTCTAGTTTATATACCTACATCTAATCATCTTAGTATTAGTATACACTGCAGTTTGAGTACTAAGGATAAAATTGTTGTGGTAGGGAGTGACAAATGATACTAAATGTTGTCTTTTCTAGCTGCTACAGAAACAAATGAGCACTACTGCGTTTATTTATACTAAATGGTTGTGACTTAAGTAAAATAATGTCTTTTGTAAAATAAGGTATTAGCAAAACCATTTGGCCCATTTAATTTAATTAAAGGCTGGAAATGACATGAAGCTATATATGCTGAATTTTGTTGCTTACGGACAGTTTTCTTCTATCAAAAAAGATTGATGCTACTGTGAATAGAAATGAAATCATATGCCAAAACATGTAGAGATCTTCAGAATATAAATCACTCCATGGAAATCATTTGTAGTTATAACAATCATGAATGTAACTTACACATATTTCTTTTGTCTCCTCATTTACATATGATCTATCTTTTTTCGTATGTGTAGCAAGATAAAGTTGTGCTCGTCCAGGTTTTCTCCCTGTCTCAGTCATCTATGTATGAAAACAAAAATAAGTCAGAATAGTTTAATTAAAGAAAAAGAAATAGATACAATATCTAAAATTTAAATAGTAAAGTAAAGTAAATAATGTAACATCTTTCACCATTTCAGCCCTTCTTCTAGAATTAGGTTTGGAGTCACCGGTGTAGGAGGGTCTGTTTGGGAAGTAAGAAGCCCCTTTGACATCTCTTCATCTGCAAATAATTCTCGATGTGAAAACACAGAGCCAGGGGGCTGATCTTTGAATAGGAAAAAGAGTGGATCTGCAGGGTCCCAAATGAATTGGCTTATTCGAAAAAGGCCTTGTTCTTTGGAAGATCTATCTCGTGTACCATGCTGCGTCTAGACTTCAAACAGTTTGTTGTGTGGAACTGTTTGTTTCTTCCGATTTTCAGCATTTCTTTTACACATGTTCTAACAATAAGATACATTTCAGTTAATTATATAAATGAATAATCATATTTTTATGCATTTCAATGTGACGTTTCAGAAAAATACCTGAGAAAAAATATCATCTACCAAACATGAAGCAACAATAATCATCTACCAAACTTGAAAATCCCATAAGCCATAAACTTGAAAATATCAGTTCTCTATTATTAGAATACAGAATATTAACTATGAAGCAATAAATACATACAACAAAAGCCATATATAATCATCTACCAAACTTGAAAATCCCATAAGAAAGAATGCATTTGCATAGTCATAGTCATATCTCCCAACAATAATAAGTAGATTCAAAGACAAGTGAGTCAATAAACTATAAGCATCATGATAGAAAATATATTCACTGTAAAACAAAAAGTATATTATTTATGTTGATATGCATTTTCAAGTGATTGGTCAATAATGGTGTATTTTGTTTCTTCTTTTATCATCATTCGACAGTATAAATATATATGTTTGCAATTATTTCGAAGCCGCTTGAAGTATGAGTGATCTATAGGTCAACAAAGTCTTCATCTGCCTCTTTATATATAAACTGGACAAATGAAGATCAGAAGCTATGATTTCCTTCTAACAGCATTCCTTTTTATCTTCTTCATCACCCCATGTAGATAATTGACAAAAATAATCATTAAGGCCTCATTTGAACTCAAGAAGAGCATCTCTCCTTTTCTATACACAGAGTCATTCCAAAATCTACTTGTAGGAGTAGTAAAGACAAAGTAACAAGGAAATGAGCTGAACTTGGATATTTTTGTCCCATATGTTGTTTCTTTCGCTTGGATTGTTCTATCATCTTATCTCCTTCTCTACTTGTTGTTTATGTATCTTTTTTATTTATTTTTTTGAGTCGGGGGTCTATCGGAAACATTCTCTCTACCTTCACAAAGGTAAAGATAAAGTTTGCGTACATTCTAATAACGGCAGTAGCAAGTTATCTCCTTCTGTGTATGACTCTTTGTTATTCTGTTTTTTAATGTCTCTTTTGGTGATTATCAGATTCCTTTTGTTTAGGATTGTTATTCACATATGTTAGGATCAGGAACCCGGGTAGTGCGGAATTTAGCCAAACAACGGTATAATGACAATAACAAAGACAATGGAAGGTGATAATAACGGCAATTAAAGAATATAAAGAAGACACAAATCTAACGTGGTTCAGTCAAAGTGACCTACGTCCACAAGCGGATAGGAGCAATTTACTATAACAATAAGAGTACAAAAGAGAGTACAAAATTAGAGTAAACACTCTAATTAATCCCAAATACACTAAGAGAATAACCTCACAAGATCACTCCAAAGAAAGGGTTCACACAAGTGCTTCCCAACACNCTTAGCTATGGTTTCTACAGAAACTTCACGTAAAACCTCATTTGAGAGATTTAAAATGATACATGCTTTTGTCTTTTTGTCTATGATAGTAAACTCCTCGTCCGTCATTTTATCCGGCTTCTTCTCCTTTCCTTGCAACGCCAAATCTAAGCCATCCTGAATTAGGATAGCTTCCATCTTTAATTGTCACATTCCGAAGTTTGCACTTCGGTCAAATTTCTCAACATAGGTCTTTGTTAGAGTCATTTTGGCTATTAAAACTAACCCGGTTAGATTCGGCTTTGATACCAATTTGTTAGAATTGGGAACCCGGGTAGTGCAGAATTTAGTCAAATAATGGTATAATGACAATAACAAAGACAATGAAAGGTGATAATAACGGCAATTAAAGAATATAAAGAAGACACAAATTTAACGTAGTTCAGTCAAAGTGACCTACGTCCACAAGCGGAGAGGAGCAATTTACTATAACAATAAGAGTACAAAAGAGAGTACAAAATTATAGTAAACACTCTAATTAATCCCAAATACCCTAAGAGAATAACCTCACAAGATCACTCCAAAGAAAGGGTTCACACAAGTGCTTCCCAACATTAACTCTCATACAAAATACTCTTAATAAAGGAAGAAAGGAAGAAACAAGAATTGAAGACAAGTCTTGTTGGTGTGTCTAAAATGAACTAATGGCCTTCCCTTTTATAGGCAAAAACGTCTTGACCTCTAAGGTGTAAAAGAAGAGATACATCTTGTGCAAATGATGTCCAACATACAATGCAATATTTTTGGGTCCCAAAGAATATTGCCAACAAAGTCTACAATTTGCAAAGATGCTTATGCTTATGTGAGATGGACTCCATTTGACAAAATAATGGCCATATTACAACATAGGTTTCTCCGTATCCTATATTCTCTCTTATTTGTTACATTTTTCTCAACTTTTATGTGCTACACTTGGCTATATAAAGCCAACCATATAATCAATACAATACAAGTTTTTCTTCTACCTTTAATATTCTTTATGGTATCAAGAGCTCTACTGCTTCAACGAACTTGATCCTAATTTTTTTTTCCTAACCCACCCACCGCACACACAAATGACTCCAAGTTCTCCAACTGTTGTCAATGCTGATAACACCTCTGGTTCAAAGACTGTTGTTCAGTTCAATCCAGTTGCTCAACATCCCATCAAACTTACTGGTAGCCATAACTTCTCACTAAGGGTGGCAAATGGGCCGGACCCGGTCCTAAGTGGGCTTCGCGGGCCCGGTCCTAAGTGGGTCGGTCCTATGCGGTCCGATCCTAAACGGTTCTGGGCTTTGCGGGCTTATTGCTGGAACCGGCTCGGGACCGGGACCACGAACTAACGGTCCCGGGTTAAGTGGGCCGGTTCCGGGCCTAAGTGGGCCTAAACGGGCCCAAACGGGTGTAAGCGGGCCCAACAGATACTTTCTATTTTTAATTTTTTTTTAATAGAAGTTAGAGAAAAAAATAGTAATAAAGATATATAAGCTATATTCGATTTATATACTATATATACATCTTTATATATATATATATACATAATATATAAGCCATATTCGATAGTATACATCTTAAAATATACTATATATACATCTTAAGATATAC